GTTCACTGCCAAACCTATTGATCAGGGGTGTCCAAACTCAGTCCTGGAGAGCTAGTGTCCTGACGAGTTTTGCTTCATCCCTTATCAAACACACCTGAGCCAGCTAACTAAGCTCTTACTAGATATATACTACTAGAAACTTCCAGGCAGCTGTGTTGAAGCAGGACACCGGCCCTCCAGCACCGAGTTTGGACACCCCTGCTATAGATATTATTTTTCAAACATGATTTAACAGATCCGGTTTAGAGTTTGTGAACAAACACACGAATAAAAGTCGTGATTCGTGAAACAGAGACATCTGCTGTTCAGCAATAACCCCCATGTTATGGCGCATCCGGTAAACTAGATGGCGGTAAGGCACGGTGAAAACCTTTCCGTCTTCATTTTTAACCCGGAAAAAAATAACTCGAAGCGGTAGCTGTCTCGAAACCACTTCGAGTACAGAAAAGTCGGGAGAATGCTCTCACGTCTGAGCCGAATCTACCCTGCTTTGTCCCGGGTTCGTCTGAGCTCGGCGCTCGGGAGCCGCTTTGTATCTCAGACGCCGCAGTCTAGCGCGTCCGGAGCTTCGGTGCCTGCTGATCTGCGGCCCTTTGCTCCGCCGCTTCAGGACAGTCATGGACACGCAGAGGTCAGCCCGTTTGACAAGGTAAGAGGACCACAAACATGTGTACGATGCTTGGGGCACATTTAAATGTGGCTCAGTTGACAAGAGGTGCGTGAGTATTGTTTAACAAATGTGTCTGTTTGATAAATTCTTTCTTAATTCTCTAAATGACCTGCACTGATGTATATTTACATTGTGAACACTACTGTTTATATTGTGCATACATAGCATCTCTTGGTGTATGCATTATATTGCATGTTAAAAAGAGAATGCGGTTAAGTTGGTTTTATATTCGCACATTTGGACTTTCTCCTTAAAATAATTTCAGAAAAGTGTGTTGCTTGCACATTTTAAATAGTCAAACCCTATTAGCAGTCAATGACTATTTTACTTCACTCGTTTATTTCTATAGCACTTTTACAATGTAGATTGTGTCAAAGCAGCTTAACTTAGAAGTTCTAGTTTTCAGAGATGCAGTTCAGTTTAGTTTAGTGTGGTTAAATTTCACTATCAAAGTTCAACATTGTTTCCAGCCAATTAAATAGAGCTAATGTTGTTTTTAAGTCATATTTACATAAGATTTCAGGCCGAAGTAGCATAATAAACAATATATAGACTGTCTCACAAGTTTCAAATTCATTCAAAAATGAACGAATGTGCGAATATAAAGTCAACTTTAGCTTAATTAAAAATTGGATGTAAATTATTTCTGCCAAAGTTTTCACTGGATTTTATTGTGCATTCATCGCTATTCTTGTGAAATGGTTCTATTCTAGTCCGTTTGGTTGTTGCAGCAGTCATGCAATGTGATCAGCAATATTAAAATGATAAATATATGTTTGGAGAAATGTTTTTCAGTGTTACTTTGCTTCATAATCCTATAAATGCTGGTTTATCAATAGAACATGTTTATCTTTGCTTTTCAGAATCCAGATTTTCACGGCTTCCATCATGACGAACCAATTGTGGATGAATGGAACATGAAATTGGCATTTTTCTTTTCCATTTCTTTGGTCATTGTTGTTGGAAGCACTTTCATTCACTATTTACCAGATCACGGGTAAGTGTGCATTTATGAGCCCACTGTTATTTGCACTGAACGCTTTGGCATGTATTTGTGGGTGTACTTGAGCCTTTATGCGCACCAAACAAGCAGACTGAGTCCTAGTTTGTCTGCCGTTCACTCTTATTTGTAGATTCAGGTATGGTTCCGGTAAAACATGAACACAATACAAACAAAAGCTATGTACAGAATATGATGTTACAAGTTGTTATTAAATGTTTATTTGCAAATTAAAGCCTCGTATGAGATGTCAAAATCTAATTTATTAAACAGCATGTGTGAAATACAAAGGAGAGGTTTTCTTCTCTATTTGAAAACATAACATTGGATCAAGAAAATTGTAATAATAGTAAAAAACTAAAATAATATAATATAGATCTAGGGAATCTATTAAAATATACAAATAATGTAAACAGAACTTTCAGGGTGGAAAGATAGAGAGAGATTTAAATAACTTTTATTACTATTGGACATTTGTTTGGAATCGATTGCACTCATTTCATCATCATCATCATCATCATCATCATCATCATCATAATCATATAAACACATCAGTTTTTTTTCCAGGGGGGCTTTTTTATGCTTTGCAGATGCAACAGATATATTGAGAGCAGGGCACACATTCTTATTCGCTTCGAGTTGATCACACCCCATATTAATTTTTACTAATATTGTTGTCTAATCCAATATTCATGTGGCAATAAATATTGCTGCATGTGGCAATAAATATTGCTGCATGTGGCGCAGCCCTAAGGTATAGTATAACCATAAAATAGATGGAAACACTTTAGCGTACCAGTTTTTTTTTTTGCTCATTACCTTTCAAAACAGCTCTCAGAAAGAATTTCATGGACACCGTTTAGTCTTTTTCTCAATTGTTGCTTGGTGAAAATAGCATCAGATGTATGGACATAAAACATGGACAATCAGCCTTGCACATAACATTGATTTGGATGCATTGCCAGTTCTTTTGCAAATCCTAATAAGCCATTTTGTGCATATTTAGTTCAGCCTCACTAAATGTGTCTTTACTAATTATTATTATTATTATTATTATTATTATTATATTTTCTTTTTTTGGTCTGGACCAAATGACCCATGAGAACAGTGGATAAACACCCTATATAATATCCAAAAATGAGCATTGTGTCATCATTTATTCTCACTTGTTTCAAACCTTTGAGTTTCTTTTTTTTTTTACTTGGAACACAAAAGAAGAATGTTGGAAACTGGTTGCCACAATGGAAGTCAATGGTTAACTGTTTCCAACATTCTTTAAAATGTCTTCTCTTGTGTTCAACAGAAGAAACTTAAACTGGACCCTTTAAAACAAAAACTTATTTATTTACTATTTTAACATGCTTGTAAATTTACTATTTTTTTTCATTAATATGCTATGATATTTTAACACATGACAACCAAGAAAGATTTGGACAGTGTTGTTGTTGTATACTGAAAATATTTGAGAAGAGTTTTTGTGCTAGATAATATTTAAATGGACTATCCAATCTGTTTGAATGACTGAAGATGAGCGTGATCATACCCTTGATGATTTTGTGCTGAATTAAATTAGATTTTGAATAGGGCTTCATAATATATCATTTTAACATCAATATCGCAATGTGATCATTCGTAATAGTCACATCGCAAGTACAATCAATGTTGAGTCTGGATTATTTATCATTTTGCAATTTTTTATTTTTATTAATTAATTTTTTTTTTTTTTAGGCTTGTAACTGTTAAAAACATTCAGGCATAAGAAATTGTACCGTTTGTACCTTTGCCAAATTAATAATAATTTTTTTTAGGTTGTTTAGAAACACTATCCAGTATTATTTAACATTTGATTTTTTAATCACTTTATACCTGAATGCATTTTTACTCCTCGGAAAACAATAAAATGCTCTTTATTTTATTTATATCCTTTTTTTTAAATAAAATCTATCTATCTATCTATCTATCTATCTATCTATCTATCTATCTATCTATCTATCTATCTATCTATCTATCTATCTATCTATCTATCTATCTATCTATCTATCTATCTATCTATATATATATATATATATCTGTATTAATTTGACTATTTTCAATATGATAAGGTTTCTTTTACAGCATTGATGTTGTACTGTTATTACAATACATTTAGTTAAATAGATTTAAGCATTTAATAAGCTGTTTAAGCATAAATCGAGATGAAAGATTGTTTAACCGCAGGCGCCGTCAGTAGCAACAGGCTAGTGCAGAAATTCCATTGAAAATACTGGGGTAAAATAAACTGTAATATTTTAAAGACGGGGAGGGGAAAATGTAATATAATGCAGTGCTTCTTGGCCGGTCTGAGACCCACTGTATATTGTATATCAATCAGGCAGTGAAGATCACTGATTTTTAAAGAAATCACCTTAATTGATTAATTGAGACCTTAAACATGGCAATTTTAAAATAAACGGACAGTTCACCAGAAGCCCTGAGGCTAGCTGGCTGAAACTGTAAAAGTCTGTGTGCATATACCCCATTAGTCTTTAATGTAATTTCAAGCCATTCAATAAAAGATTGTCTTTTAGATGCAATGGTTTCCATGTGTGCTTTTTCTATTGCTATTCACCCCCCATTTGTTTAAATCATGATGTTTTCTCTCTCTTTTTGTCCTCCAGCATGAGGCAGTGGGCTCGTCGGGAAGCTGAAAGGTTGATCGTACAGAGGGAAGCTGCTGGTCTTCCCGTCCTGACTGAAAATTACTACGACCCAAGCACCATTGTTCTCCCCTCTTCAGAAGAGTAGACAGCATATTGTCATTAATTATCCTGTTAATTTGTGTTGGACTGTACATTTGCCTCTCCTCAACTCTATTATAATAAAATGTTATAATATAGCTGAATGTGGTATTTTCAGTTGCTGTTATTTTCATACTCATCATTGATAAAATAAATGCACTCTCAGTGAGCAGAATAAACTCAATTAATTTAAAGAGAATGTTAAAAACTGTAAAGCTTACAAACTTTTTAGCCATTCGGTGTGTGCATATGTCTTATGCAGAAGGCACATTAAAGAAATCAGAAAAATATCTATCTATCTATCTATCTATCTATCTATCTATCTATCTATCTATCTATCTATCTATCTATCTATCTATCTATCTATCTATCTATCTATCTATCTATCTATCTATCTATCTATCTATCTATCTATCTATCTATCTATCTATCTATCTATCTATCAACTATTGCTGTTCTCATAAACGTCATTGCATTCTCTCTGCCTCTGATTGGTGCGAAACAAGTACGAGTGGGCGTGTCCTAGCGGCGTGGCACCGTCTGCGGGGCGGGGCCTTGGGGTCGTACAGGAAAAGATAAAGAAAGCGAGGACATCTGAAACGAAAACGGTAAATACACGCACATAAACACCTCTGGAACTTAGCATCAATATGTTTATGAGTTTAATATATGTTGTACCCCGAATACCGCCGACCAGCATTTTTAAAAAGCGCTTAAGTGAGTTAAAAGGTGCCGTTTATAGGTGGCTAGCTCAATGCTAATAGGCTAAGTGTGATGACGGAAACGGACGAACAACAATATGCCGAACACGAGTTGATATTCGCATTAAACTCCTACCATTGCGAGTCGAACAGGTCTGGAAAGTTTAATACAAGTGCTGACTTGTGGACCATATCGAATCTATGCTTAAACGAGGCTCATTTCACACTTATTAGGGCGTGAGAGGAAGCGTCCCAGTTAGCATAGGGAGTAAACCGGGGACTGATCCAGTTTGGCGCAGACATGCGGCTGTTCTAGTCTACACCTCTAGGTTATACACTACCGCAATATACAGACGTTTAAACAGCTGCTTAATGCCTCCGGTCTTGTTAAGTAAACTACATGCTAAATGTTATGCTAATCTACAATAGTGGTCACTTGTGTTCTTGACCAGTCTTCAGGCGGATGTATTTGTAGTGAGAGTAAATGAATGTGAATTGCATTGGTGTGTGTTTTGCTGGCATTGATCAGTGTATTGAGTAGGGTGCGGTGTGTTGTGACAGCATCTGGGAGCTGTGTGTGTTGATGCTGCAATGCTGAAATGACACAAGAACCAAATGTACAAATTATTGAAATGTCTCAGAAATTGATTTTGTTAGTTTTTTATTTAAAATACTAAATTAGACAGAATTACCTGTTATTATTGGACAATATGCAATTAAGCATATAAATAATTGAATTGATGTTTGATTATTAAAGAGTGATTGGTAGATTACTTTGTAATTGCAGCCTATTACTGATTATATTACAAATTACATGTTGTAGATTACAAATTATATGTTGATATTCGTATTCAGTTTCTTAATGTAGTTAATTTAATAAAATTGGTAATTTATCAGATTAACTATTAAAATAAAATATAAGTACTTTTTTACCACATAATGGGGTTACTAGTGTAAATAATAATAATGTAATCATCGTAAAAGGTATTTCATTATGAGTAGGGCTGAGTGATTAATCAAAGTCATCGACATTCAGAACCAATAATCTATAAAAAAAATTTCCAGGTCAATTTTTTTTAATAACTTCCCCTACCACGTGTGGAGTCATGTGACCCCGCTCTGTTAAGGCTAATTTATACTTCTGTATTGAACGCACGGGTGTTATCTGGCACAGTCTTCATGCGGTTGCAAACCCGTGCACCTTTCAAAATGTAACCACAAGTTTGCACTACATAGATGATGATTGGAAGCTGTGTCCGAGATGCTTTAAGATGGCATATTTTTTTATTACAATAAAATTATTATTATTTACAAAATATCTGTTTACTGAAGATTCAAGAAATACACTGTTTAAAATACTATTTACAGGATATACAGAAGGTTATACAGGTTATTTTATTTAGATGCGATGCTGCTTGTTTTCTACTTTTAATATGAAAAAAATTGAAATACATTTTTTTTCAGCAGTGTAAATTATTTATTTTCACTTTTTTATAAGGAGAAAAGTTGCCTGTTCATTTTAGGCAGTGTGTGTTTTAATTTTAGTTGTTCAACATTGATGTTCAATAAATAATCATAGATAGTAGATAGTGTGTGTTTCTTTCAATTATTTTAAAATCAGGTAATGCACCCTTCATTCAGAAATCTCTGACTTGTAATGTGAGCACATTTACTGTACAAAACCAGTGAATCAGTAAAATCAATGATCTATGAGGGGAAAAAAATTAATACATTTAATAATCGTTCTTTAATTGTAAACAAGTTGAAATTCAATTAATCGACAATTGAATATTGTTTTTAGAATATTATTTTGATTCAGATTATATGTAATTACTCAGCAATATTAAATAAAGTAAAAAAAAGAGTTGCCATTTATACAAAAATAAAACAACAAGAGCTTAAAAACACTTTAAAACCTTAATAAATAAAAAATTCTTGCTCTGCCTTAAAATGTAATTCATACTGTTCTTTTTTGTTTCTAACAAACCCACTAAGACTTACATAAAAGCTTATAACTGGCTTTTATAAAATGATAGCAAGTGATATTCAGTTATGCTTACAGTTGAATGGATTCTGAAAAATATACTAAAACTGTGATCCGCATATTTAGATTGTTTAGGACGTTGGTGATTTAAACACTTGTTTGGAAGCTTCACTGTGTATTATTTTTATCAAGGCCATTTTACAAACAAACCAACTATATAACTGGCTCTTATTATCAGATGCTTGCATTCATGACATTATACAGTGCTCAGCATAATTGAGTACAGCCCATTTTGAAAATGAATCTTTTTATCCATTTCTCAGTGAATATAGACAATGTATTTTGATCCATTTTAACAAAACATTTAGTAAACGGATATATTTATTAAAATAATATTTAAGTTGCCAAACATATTTAGAAATTGGAAGATAATACAATTAAATTCAAGCAATTCAATATTAAACCTAAAAAATTCAACTACATTTTTCCATTGTTTTGCTTCTCTTGATTTTTTTTTCTATTTTAAATTTGTATTTAATATTTTTCTATAACATAATTTTGGGTGTACTTGTTTTTGGACTGTTATTTTGTTAAATAAGCTCCAGATTTGGCTTCAGTACTGACTAATCTAAAGTACAAATATAATATTGTATGTCTTTTAAAAATATGAATTTAAAGATAGATTTGTGAGGGGTTTACTTGCATATACTGAGCACAGTATATACAGCTTGTTATTGATGTAAAATGCAGGGGTATCCCACTAAATAACATCATGAGTATTTCCAGAATTATTTTTCCATATGAACGTTTTTATCTTGGCACACATGCATTGACAGACTGTTTGGATTTATGTAATAAAAATGGTTTCCAATTCTAGAGTAGGAACAATTTCCACCTGCCTCCTGTAATTATTGGCTGATCTTTGCATTTTGTGTGACAGATGGCTGCGATTCGTAAGAAGCTTGTAATCGTTGGAGATGGAGCCTGTGGAAAGACGTGTTTACTCATCGTTTTCAGTAAAGACCAGTTTCCTGAGGTTTACGTTCCCACAGTGTTTGAGAACTATGTCGCTGATATTGAGGTGGATTCAAAACAGGTGAGATTATCTCTTAAACGGCCATCCCACAATCACCATCTCTCTGTAACAATGTGAACTTTTGCAAAAAGTAACTTCCTCAGATTGTTCACAAACATTTTAATAGTGTTCTTCCTTCTTTTTTGTATTTTTTATGCATGGTTTATCATTAATGAATATGTTTTATTGTAATTGTGCTAACAACATTGTGTGTATCTGTGAAATATGAGTAACTAAAACCCTCAAAAAGCCATTTGATATTTTCTTCTAAAATTTGCTCCTGTTGGTAGGCTCAATTATTTTACATTTATAGTGACGGAAAGGTTTTATTCATTGCCTTTCAAGTGAAATAACTATACATAACCAAAGTTGGATGAGAAAAATTTGAAAATGTGAAACAGGCTGTGAAAAATGTGAAAAGTTTTTTTTTCCTCCAATTTCTGTTTAAAGGAGAGAACTCATTTCTTAACATAATAGTTTTAATAATTCATCTCTAATAACGGATTTATTTAATCTTTGCCATGATGACAGTATATAATATTTGACTAGATATTTTTCAAGACACTTCCATATAGCTTAAAGGGCAACTTATAGGCTTAACTAGGTTAATTAGGTTAATTAGGCAGGTTAGGGTAACTAGGCAAGTTGTTGTACAATGATGGTTTGTTGTAGACTGACGAAAAAATACAGCTTAAAGGGGCTAATAATTTTGGCCTCAAAATGTTTAAAAAAAATAATAAAAACTGCTTTTATTCTAGATGAAATAAAACAAATAAGACTTTCTCCAGAAGAAAAAATATCAGACATACCGTGAAAATTTCTTTGCTCTGTTAAACATCAACAAGAAATATTTAAAAAAGAAATTAAGTTCGAAGATGGTTTATTAACTCTGACTTCAACTGTATGTATACATTATTTAAATGCAAGCTTTTATTTTGGATGTGATTAATCACTATATTTTTACAGCACTAATTCATGTTAAAATGTTATTTATTACCGTAACACAAAGCTAAATTTTTTAGCAGACGTATATTCCAGCCTTTATCAGTGTTAAGGCTTTGCAGAAACCCTCATACCTTTTTTCTAAAACCTTTAAAGAGGGAAGATCAAAACAACATAATTTATTTTTAATTATATTATAGTTATAATGTAAATGTCTGTGAACTTTAAACAGTTTTATTTGCCCATGCTAGAATAAGTTCATAATCCATTACTGACCCCAAACCTTTGAACACTAGTGTCACAATACATATAAAATGCAAGTAGAATTTTAGAAAAAAAAATGACTTAGGAATAGAATTCTGTAATCAAATACTCACATTTGTGACACAAAGCACCTGACATTGTTTTCAAGACAAGTTGTATTTTTTTTTTGTATTTAATAAAATAGTATGAGTTTCTTTGAGTTTGAAAACAGTATCATGTTAACAAGACTCTAAAATATTCAGATTTTTGTATATAATACAGTCAAATTTTTTTGCAGAAAAAAAACTATGCTGAATATATTACAGGGTACACGCGGTCTTAAAGTCTTAAATCTCAAAAGCTAATTTTTAGGCCTTAAGAAGTCTTAAATATACAGAAATATTGTGTTGTAAGTCTTAAATCTTTTTTTAACAGGTCTTTTCTTTGTTCATGTATAGCTGCCCAATCTGGCCATTAACACCTATACAATCACCAACAGTCCTTCACAATAAAACTTTTAACGTTTTATTTAAAAAATAGCATCTAATTACTTTCCTTACAGTAACATTTGCTTAAATTCTTCATTTATTTACTGCTGAGAATACTGACTTGACCTATATATTTTTTCATTATTAAATTATTACTATTGTAGACTGAAGTAATTGACAGCTACGTTTTGTTATATTCTTGGTAAGGGTAATAGGGTTTGTAAATGGATATATTTGAAAGTGAATACAAAACATATTCAAACTAAATTATTATTATTGTATTATTGAATGTATTCATTTTAATTTTTTGATGAAAAAATTTTCAAGTGAAAATCCTTTCTAACTAGGATATTTGAAACAAATCCGTAAATTTAGATTTAAGTTGGTGAAACCTGCAGAAACCCTGTGATATTTTATTTCATTTGTGATGTTGTCAGGTGGAACTGGCTCTATGGGATACAGCTGGCCAAGAGGACTACGACAGGCTGAGGCCCCTGTCCTACCCAGACACTGATGTCATCCTTATGTGCTTTTCCATAGACAGTCCTGACAGTTTGGGTGAGATATCTTTAATATTCATTTATATAAGGCCAAGACTGAACTGCTGTGATCACTTTATTGAAAACCATCTTATACTCATGCAGAGAACATCCCAGAGAAATGGACGCCAGAAGTAAAACATTTCTGCCCTAATGTTCCAATAATACTGGTGGGTAATAAAAAAGATTTACGGAATGACGAGCACACTCGACGGGAGCTGCAGAAGATGAAACAGGTTTGTGAGCTTTCAATACTTTCAAATTTTTGTATATTTTAACGAATTAATTAATTAAAAGAGGTTTAATACTAAATTAAATATTGTTTAATTAATATTACAGTAAGACATACCGACAGTGTGCCAATGGTTTTTGAGCACATGACAACAGTATTTATTGCATTTATTACTCATGTGACATGCTCTATAGGGATTAGAATGCAGAATATATCACGAGTCCTTAAATTATGTTTAAAATGACAGAAGTGTACACTACCTGACAAAAGTCTTGTCGCCTATCCAAGTTAGGAACAGTTAAGTATAGAAACAGCAAATTATAACTTGACTTCTTGTTGATCATTAGGTATTAGAAGTGGCTTATATGAAAGGCAAAGGCCTCTAGATTGTGCTTATTTTACCAAAATAAAATATGATCATGCCTTGACTTTTAATTATTTAATTAGGACAGTAAGGTCTGACTTTGCTAAGACAAAAGTCTTGTCTCTTAACAGAAATAATGTACAGTATAGAATATAAAGTCATGGTGCAGTGGAAAAAGAATTAATATTGTTTATGACTCCCATGAGCTTGGAGGACTGCATCCATACATCTCTGCAATGACTCAGATAACTTATTAATAAAGTCATCTGGAATGGCAAAGAAAGTGTTCTTGCAGGACTTCTAGAGTTCATCGGGATCCTTTGTATTCATCTTTAATGCCTCCTCCTCCATCTTACCCCAGAGCAAAATCTTATTTTTAATAAATTTCATATTATTAGAGGGTATTCACGTGGTTGTTAAAAGTATTAAAGATTAAGGCTCTTAAAAAATATTTAAAAGCCTAAATGCTATTTTACAAGGTATTAAATTGTGTAACAGTATACTAAAGTCTTTATACAAAGAATTTTGCTTTGCTTACTGCAGTAAACAGTGAAACACTATAGGTGCAACCTATTAGCCTTTTTATTTAGTATATGAAAATATTTAGCTTAGGATTAGTTTCTTACCATTAGTATTTAGTATATATACTGCACCGATTAAAACCTTAAGTGTTGATTAGGTCTTAAATTGTATCAAAAGAGTCTTAATGTCTTAAAAGTTATTGGATTCACTTTCTGATTACTGTAGATACCCCATATACAGAACATATAGGATAAGTGTGAGACTTGTTATATATTCTTATTTTTTATAATACTTAAACAATCATTTTATTAACTAATGTATAACAGTACGTACAGTTTTACTGTATTTTACAGTTATTTTGTAAGACAATAGTATTCTATATTAAGAGCAATCAAATGGCTTAACTAGATTATTTAGGTTAACTATACAAGTTCTATTAGGACAACAGTAGTTTGTTCTATAGTCAATCTAAAAATATTTTATTTCTTAAGTGGGCTAATAATATTAACCTTAAAACTTATATATATATATATATATATATATATATATATATATATATATATATATATATATATATATATATATAAAAGTAAAGCTGCTTTTACTCCAGCATAACTAAAAGAAAAAAACTTGTCCAGAAGATAAAGGAAAAAAACTTGTCCAGCAGATAAAATATAATAGGAAATACTGTGAAAATGTCCTTGCTGTTAAACGTCACTTGATAAATAATTAAAAAAGAATAAAAGGTTAATAATTTTGCCATCAAACTGTACTTAAATATATATTGTGCATATATATGCATATATTAAATACATAATATATATTATACTTCACACATACACGCATAGATACATGCAGAAAAAACTACTAAGAAATGGTTGTTGCACTGTTTTGTAATGTTATTTAATTGTTTAGAGTTATTGAAGTGTACTAATGCCCTGTAAATGGTTTGCTTTCTGAACAGGAACCAGTTAAACCAGAGGAGGGACGAGACATGGCTAATCGCATCAATGCCTTCGGCTACCTTGAGTGTTCAGCTAAAACTAAGGAGGGCGTGAGGGAAGTGTTTGAAATGGCCACAAGAGCGGCGCTCCAAGCCAAGAAACGTGGCAAGAAGAATGCCTGCGCTTTGCTATAGAGAACACAAGTGGAAAATGAGAAGAACGAGGGAGGGAAAAGGGGTAACCAAACACGGCCAAGGAAAATGAAAGAGCTCTAAAAGTTCGCAAATAGAGGGAAGAAACAGCCCCTAGTGTTAATTATGTACTCGGGGGTTCAGGGAGGGTCATTTTCAATCCAGGCCAAAAGAAACTACAGAAGATAGTAGGGACAGCTGCACCGGCAAACAAAAGGGACTTAAACATTTCACAAAAGGCCATCAGTCCTCTTTCAAATCAAGATTAGTTGACCTTAAAGCCTTCAGACTGATTGATCACGGAGCAAGGATAGCGTATTTGTAGAGTAAAGATTGACGTGGGTTCACAGTGATTGCGTTCGAGGTGGGATTAAATGCCATGTATTCTTTGGCCCCTTTGATTAGAAGATCAGCACTGTAAGCAAGAACTTGGTCTAAAAAAAATAGATTCCTTTTTTGGCAGTAAATGCATTATTCAGGGTGTAAAAGGCATTAGTTACTACCCTACATCGCTTATGCTACATGTCAAGCGGGGAGTTGTTTTTTTGGATCAAGACATTGGCGCACAATGTAATACTCTAGTTGACTACCTTAGAAACCTCCCAGGAACCCAGTGCCGTCTTATGTAAAACATTCATGACTGATTTTCTGATATATATACATTTTTTTCTTGCATTAACACGCTAATACTGTTTGATAACACAACTGGTTCCTCTGTGCCCTCCTGTCCTGTCGCAGAATCGACGGTTTAATCGCTGGTTTAAAGTAGCTGAAAGTAGTAGTAGTCTTACAATTCTTTATTCCAGTTAAGTATATCTTGTACTTTGTTGCCATTTGCCTATAAAATTCTAAGTAAGATGCATTAAGCAATGATCATACTAATTCACCTTTTTGTGAGTATTTTATGTGCTTGCTCATGTATTGTAATTAAAAAAAAGAACAAAAAAACAAAAACAATTTTGGGTTAATCAGCCTTCGTGGAGCTCCAAGCAGAACTGCAGCTCTGTATGTTGACTGTCAGACACTGTTTGATTTTGGCTATATATATATTTATATATATAGATACGTTTTTATCATAGGTGACAGTAATGTAATTTACCCCGTATTACTCTTTGCCTGCATGACAGGCTTTTATTTGGTGTGCAGAAATCAAATATATGTTTATCTCACTGTATAAATGAGAAGCTCCCTCCATTTTCACTCCATGTCTTTTTATTATTCCCCTCTTTCTTCTCCAGTACTGTGCATTTTTTATGTTTTTTTGTTTTGTGAAATTCTACTGGCTTATACTATATCATTTTTGCATATTTTACAAATTCTAGTATCTTAGAATTGAATTAAAGAAGGACAAAAGATAGTAAAAATGTGACTGAGAGAGAGAGAGAGCTGTTTAATGCCATATTATTAAATGCAAGTCATTTCTTAGAAGAGATTCTGCATTTCATTGTAAGAGAAAAAGCCTTTGATGCGTCAATTATCTTTTGTATACCAGTGCATCTTTGGATTTCCACAGACTCATTTGAATTGTACTGAAAAAATAAATTCTTATAGGGTAACTTTGCATGGGTCTTTATTTTGTGTTTCTTCTTCGGATGACGTTTGCATAAATTACCTCATTTCTTCACCAGCTCGACACGGTCTTCAGCTTCACATGCTTACATTTTTTTAAAGTCGAGGTAAAAGATAGAAATTCCACACGGTAGAAGGTTCACACAGGTCTTAGCACCACCAGTCAGTCTTCACAGTGATCTGTGCAAACCAGCCACAAATTCGTGATAATATGGCTCTGAAATGACATGAAACGTAAGTTAAAGCCTTCATGTTCGATTTTTTTTTCTTTCGTTTAAATGCAAACTGCATAGATAACACTATCAAATTCTACTAGGTGATTCTCCAGTGTACAACAAACCTGAGTCTGGCTCGATAATGGCGTGTCTGATGAGGAAATCCAGAACCACCATGGCACAGTTTGGCTTAAACTCCTCACTGACCAGAAGATCTTTAACCTGAGAAAACATCACAGCAGAAAATGGGGTAAGGTTAGGAAAGTGCACACATTTTGCCATGTCACTATTTATTTATAGTTATGTTGATGTCGTATACATTTTCTACAGATGAGGTTAAATACCGTTTGGTCTTTGGGTTAAATGTTTGGAATAATAATATTTTAATGCTCTTAAAGTTAAAAAAGCGATAATTAAATAAATAAAATGTATTATTTATTCACCTTTTAGTAGTTCCTAACATTTACGCGTATATTTATTGTGTTGAGCAAAAAAAAAAAAAAAAGATGAAAACCTATAACCATTGACTTTCATAGTAGGAAAAACAAACACTATGGTCCATAATCCACTTGCTAAGTGTGACGTCACACACGTAGTAGTAGTGGCTTGTAGCCGGAAACAGTGTTTCATAAGTCACAACCTAACAAGCGGACAGTTATAAGCATCAATGCTCAAAAAAGGTTGAGCTGCGTTATAGTTCATTAAAAAATTAAACTTTTGTCATCATTCCTTCATCCTCCAGTTGTCTTCAATTGTTCTGTTGAACACAAAAGAAGATATTTTGATGAATGTAGAAAACAGCAGCCACTGACTTCCATAATAGATATTTGTTCCTACACTCTCCAAAGAGTCCACAATGGTACCTCAAAGGTGCATATTAGTACCCAAATGTACCTAGAAAGTATCTTTGAGGTACCATTATGGACCCTTCAGGTACACATATGTACCTTTTGAAAAGGTACAACCCCAGTGACAGCTCCTGAACCGATATTTCTGAGAGTGTACTATAAATAGTGAATAGTGCCCTCACTGCACTCCAACGAAATGGTAAGGTTTATAGACTAATTAATACTCATTAAACCTCTTTAACATCATTATATGTACCTGCTGGATAACTGAGGGTGCTTTCACACTTGGTTCAATTGCCAAGACCGTATGCAAGTTCGATTGACCCCCCTTTCCACTCTCTTGGTTGGTTTGTGTTCACACTGTCTTTTTTTCTTCTGAACCCCGGTACGCTTGCGTCATCGAGCTGCTGTTGTGTGTACGGTTGTTGCTAGGTGACGGACACGAAAGCAAAGCGGCAAAAAGGAAAGACGTCTGTACATCGCGGTCATTTTGCTCTTACTGAATCTTTTGGTTTTAGACATACAGAAAGCGGCTCACGTCTATCTGCCGCAAAAATATTATAAACGTTCTGAACATAACGCGATTTCTGCAGAAGCTGTTTTTGGAGGAGACAAGCAGACATAATCTGTAGCCCCTTTTACACAGTGATACCGGTAAATATCCGGAAAATGTCCAGAACGACTTTAACGGTGAATTTTTAAAAAGCGCTGTTGACACAGGTAAGGATGTTACAGAATTTTTCCGGAAAAGACCATTCACACATCCATTCCAAAACTAAAATCATTAACCAGAAATAACCTCCAAACAGCTGCGCATGTATTTGTAAATATTGACTACATTACACACTCTGTAGATGGATAAGTATTGTAAACAACTTCGATGAAACATATGGAGGAACACTTTCGCATGTTGAGATTTACTAATTACGTGTGTGTGCTGGCGGCGCTCACCGGCTGCTTCACATACACACGGGTCAGAACTTAGAGGTAAACAAACAACAGTTTATCATAAGCATTTTATCGATCTTTTTTTTTTACACAGCTTGCATTAAGAAGGAACATAGAAATGTTGTCTGACTAACATCTAGTAGCTAATTGTGTCTGGAAATTATTCAAAGGCTATTCGGAGTGTTCTGATTGGCTAAAGTAGACGGCTTACGTCAGCGCATTCTATCTTCCCTTTGCGTACACACAGCGCAGCATTCCAGCAAATTACCGTAATGTTACAACATCTTTTTATGGAAAATTGCCCGAACAAAATTGCTGTTCACATATACAGACATTTCCGGAAAACTGCCGTCAATTTTCCGGAAAGGTCTGTATGTGTGAAGGGGCTACTGTGTTTGCCCTGGCTCAGTCTCGCTTTTCACCAATGTACAGTACGTGATACACAGACACACACACACACGAATGAACATTATGAAAATGATAGTTTGTTGAACAGTTTGAGGTTCACTTTCTTCATTTGATACGATTGCAGTCGTAGCAGAAGTGAACCGGACCAGAGTTCACGTGAACTGTACCCCAAACCACCTTTCAGGCGGACTCGGGTACAGTTTACAGGTGCGCACCCGGTTTCAGAAGAAAAATCACGCTAGCTAAACGTACCATACACTGACGTCAAACGAACCTCGGTGGCGACCAAAGGTGCTAGTATGAAAGCATCCTGATATTTCAAACGGTTTATTATATTTTCAAGATCTGAGGTGAACTATCTGCTGCTGCTTTCAGTATATGGCAATGAATGTGATGTAAAATGGCATTCAAACTCACATTATTAGCATTCAACACTGAATAAAGCACATGGGGTGATTATTGTGAGTTTATCCTGTTGTTCAGCTGCAAAAAATAGAAGCCATTTCCAAAACATAAATTTCCGGTATTGATTAGAACAAAAACTTCTTTAAATATGGAGAATATTTCTTCTATTGCGTGCTGTTTCTTTTATTTAGCACACGACTTAAATCAGACTTTTGGCAAATCAGGCACACTCCTGTTGGTGTCATCAATCTGGCAACCTTCAGTGCATTTTTGAACCAGGAGTGCAATACCTATTTGAACCACTGGGTGTCAAACTAACATACTGCATCTTTAAGGATTCTTTCTTGAAAAATTGTTTTCCATCAAATGAATGTAGCCTTGGTGAGCATAAAAAGTGATTCACACACTGATTTATAATCAATAGTTGCCTTCACCTTCTCTATTGGATAGTAGTAAAACGCTTGCACTTCTCCGTCTCCAATGTGAGGCTGAAAATTGAGAGGCAGCTCTAAATCAAAGACGAACTGACACTCCGGAAATATTCCTTCATCATCTTCGTAGGTGTAGCTGCACAGAAAAGAGACAGAGAGAGGCATGAAAGGAAGATTCCAGATTGTGAAATTTCTTTTAATTTAGCTAAACATAGTAAAACAGTTTCCAGGCAGAAATGATCCAGGCATTTGCATGTCTTTGATCACACTGACGCTTAAACTCCAATCCTGGTCATCCTCATTTGAGCGAACATAATATTTCCCTGGAAACCTGCCAGCTGGAAGCTATTTCTGGCCTTTCTGCTGTGTTAATCAGTCTCTCTTGAAATGCAGTTGAGAGAGTTTGTATCTCTAAACAGAAAACAACAGCAACATGCATCTTTAACCTTATAGAAATCACCAGCTCCCAATTGCTTTTGTGCTTCGTAATAGCTTGCAGTTTTGCTGAAGCTGAATAGTGGCATAGAAATGAAAAGAAGGATTATGCACCTCACTGTACCCACAGGACGCGCTTGCTCTGCCAGGCCTGGAGGGATGCAGGCCTCCTCTTCACACTCTTTTACCATGGTATGCCTTACGCTACAGCCTGCTGCCAGTCCTCCAGCCGCCTGGGTGAGAAATCAAATCCTTTAAAGACCCCATTAAGTCCAAAGAGCAGACTTGTGGATTTTAGTCTTTTGGTGATTAGCTTTGAGATCACGTATATATTAGTGTACTTCTAAAAGCTGTTTTAAACTGAAAGCACTTTGATGGATGTTTTTAAAAATGTGTCCCCAGTAGTGCTGCACGATATTACAAAAATCTGATACGCCAATATTTTATTTTTCCGCGATAAATATTGCGATATTAATACAATTTCACAAGATGGTTTGAATCGCTTTATTTGACGAGTCTAGGAGTATTCGGGTGCAGAAATTGAATAATCACAAAGCAAAAATAAAGTTTTAAGTAAATTACCTGCCAGTATGGTAAGTGAAATAACCTTGTTTTCGGTTTGAAATGTGGATATTTGGACTAGAAACAAAAAGAAATGTTTATTTATTTATTTATTTTTGTATAAATCATATAAATTCTATATAAATACAGTGATTAAATGCAATTCTGTAGCTCCTGGTCAACTATAATTTGGACTGGACATTGCATACCTTTGTGATGTGACTGATGTGTATGCTCGCATTGCAATTTCGATGCTGAAATGATATATTGTGCAGCTCTAATCCCCACACTCTCAGAAAAAAGGTTAGTACAAATGATGTTCCTTAAGGAGCAGTTTTGTACCTTTGTAAAGATTGTACCTTATATGGTACAGAAATAACTTCTTATGATACTGTTCTGTATCTTTTATGGTACAATTGAAATGAAGGTACACAATTGTTCTCATAAAAAAGGAACATAAGTGTTGGACAACTCCTTTATTACAATATCTCTAAAAATAAATATTACTGGAAAGGCAAAGTATTTTCTGATAAATACATTTTCATTATTGATATTTGCACCTTTTGGTGTTTGTGTTCCACTACACACGAGCTGGCAAAAGTCCAGCTTAAATTTTAAGCTATTCATCATATACCAAACAGAGAAATCATATTTAATGTTTTAATTAATATTTTGAATAATCTATTATTAAATCATGAACTTGTTATTATTTAATATGTTTTTTGTCTATTTTGAT